TCCCTCCCTGCCCTTGTCCCAAGTCCCTCCCCAGCTTTCCTGGAGCCCCTTCAGGCACTGGAAGCTGCTCTAAGGTCTCCCTGGAGCCTTCTCTTCTCCAGGCTGAACACCCCAACTCTCCCAGCCTGGCTCCAGAGCAGAGCTGCTCCAGCCCTGGGATCATCTCCTTGGCCTCCTCTGGCCTCTCTCCAACAGCTCCACATCCTTCCTGTGCTGGGGACCCCAGAGCTGTTCCCAGCCCTGCAGGGGGGATGTCACCCACGATGTCACCACTGGGAAGTGCCCCCCTGGGCTGTTAGAAGCCTTTGCAGTGTCTCCATCTTGATCCCACCACACCTGGTGCCCACAACCATGTCCCTCCCCTGGGCACCTCTCCTGCCCACAGGGACCCCAGCCCCGGCCAGGAGACACCTCAGCTGGCAGGGATGGGTGTGGAGCTGCTCCTTGTCTACACCCTTCACCCCAACAAGGCTTTTCCTGACTCCCTGTTGCCATCCTGGCCCATCCCCACCCTTCCCCCTGGGGAACATCAGGGCAACATCTCCCTGGACCTGCAGCAGCATCTGCTGCCCCTGCTCCCCCCCTGCCTGTCCCCAGGGTCCCAGCTGAGCCACCCCCCTGCTCTGGAGGAGCTGCCAGTGCCATTAGGTGTTCCCATGGGTGCAATTAGCACCCAAGGGCTGTAATTAACTTCTCCTTCCCCTCTGCTGCTTCTGCTCTGGGTCCTGGTAGGATCCAGGCCAACCCTGAGGCAGCTCTGCTCTTGCTATAAAGCAATTCCATGTCCCTGCAAGGACACCAGGGGCTTCAAGCCACCAGCAGCATCTCCCCACCCGTGTCCCAGGCCCTGCAGGGATGTCACCTGCAGGCAAAGAGCTCCAGGACACCTCCCAGTAACCACCCCACCAGGGCTCTAGGGGGAAACAGCCCGTTACCCTGGGCTGTGGGTGAGGAACCACATCACCCAGGTCCCACCCAGCCCCTCCTCAGACACCTCCTGCCTTCAGCAAACCCTCCTGCAGCCTCCCCCTCCATCCCCTGGCCCTGCTGGGGCTGCAAGGAGCTGCTCCTGCCCATGCCACGTTCTCCAGGCCACCAGCCAAGGGGTGTCCTGCTTCTGCCAACCTGGCCCAGAGAGGGCTCCAAGGGTTGGTTCCACCACGGGTGTGGAAATCCCCATTGCTTCATCCTCCCATCCCTCTCATTATTCACAGATACAAGCTGAGATTGGGCCACATCTTGAGCTCATCCTTCCTCTCCACCCCTTCCCCAGGTCACTCCTGCTTCCTTTGCTCCCTACGCAGATAGAGGCCCAGACTGGGTTGGGTTGGAGGGACCTAAAGATCACCTAGTGCCCCCACCATGGGCAGGGACACCTCCCATCAGCCCAGGCTGCTCCAAGCCCCATCCAACCTGCCCTTCAACACTGCCAGGGATGGGGCAGCCACAGCTTCCCTGGGCAACCTGGGCCAGGCTCTCCCCACCCTCACACCAAAGAATTTCCTCCTCATGTCTCACCTCAATCTCCCTCTCCCAGTTTTCATCCATCCCCCTCATCCCCTCCCTCCCTGCCCTTGTCCCAAGTTCCTCCCCAGCTTTCCTGGAGCCCCTTCAGGCACTGGAAGCTGCTCTAAGGTCTCCCTGGAGCCTTCTCTTCTCCAGGCTGAACCCCCCAACTCTCCCAGCCTGTCCCAGAGCTGCTCCGGCCCTCCCAGCATCTCCCTGACCCTGTAGAACCTCAGAACACCAGCCTGGTTTCCCATCAGACTCAGCTCAACCCTTTGATCCTCCTCTTGCTGCTCTGCCCACCCAGGCTCAGCTCTGGGGGTGTTTCCAGCTCTGGGGGTGTCTTTGAGCCACAACCCAACGTGGCCCTTTTGCTCCACCTTGAGGAGCTTCTTCTGCAAGGAGTTTTGCTGCAGGAGAAGGACCTGGGCTGGAGGAGGATGAGTCCTTCTTTATAGAGGGACCTCAGAGGAGGGACAGGACAGTCCCTGTGCCTGAGGGGCCCAGGAGGAGGGGGTTTCAGGTGCTCTGAGCTCCAGGTGACCACCAGCCCTGGAGCCTCCTGCTAGAAGCTCTTCTCCTCAGCCCAAGCTCCCTGATACCTGGTCTGCAACCCCCCTGGGGTCAGAGCAGGATTGTCACCCCCAAGGGAGGCTGGGGAGGTGACAGGGGGGACAACTTCAGGCACCCAAACCCTCCTCTTCTTCTCCTGGTGAAGAAGAGGGGCCACCAAACCCTGGGGAGCTCCATCCTCACCCATCCCACCTCCCCCTCTCAGGCTGCTTCCCTGGCCCCCAACCCAGCAGGGCAGAGCCAGCCCAGCCAGGACCAGCCCCCACGGTCCCACCACCCCCAGCAGGCTCTGATTTCCACCCCCCCATGACTGGGTGCAAGAAGGTCCCAGCCCTGCACTCAACCCCCCAAGCCTGGTTAATGACAGAGGCTTCATTAGTGACAGCAGGTTGATTTATTAAGCTAATTAATTAGGGGCAACGAGCTGCCTTGAGAGCCAAAGGGACTGATGAAGATCAGGACATCATGGGCTGGAATTGCCCACCCCCATGGGGACGTGGAGTCCTCATGGCCTGGTAGAGACATGGAGATCAATCTGTCCCTGGGGTCACCTGGGGTTCAGGGACAGGTTTGGTGACACCTCCTGTGTTGGGGTGGCTCAGGGGGGATGCACTTTGCTGGCCACCTTGGCTTCCTCCCCCCTGAGCCACCCCAGGGCTGTGGGTGTCACGGAGCATCCGTGCTCAGCACCCACAGCATCTTCTGGATTCGAGGGCTGGGAGGTGCAGGAGAAACCACCTTGAGAAGGATGGAGCTCAGGGCCTCCCCTCCAGCATGTCATAGTACTCTGGGGAGAGAGGAAGGGGGAGCTGGGGGGGGGCAAGGGCCCCCCCTGGGATGTGGGGGGGAGTCAGACTTGGAGGGATGGTTGGTGGACACTTGAGGTCAAGATGTTCCTCAACATGGGGTGGTTGGTGGACAAGGAGGGGATGATTCTCCTCAACATGGGGGTGGTTCATGGACACTTGAAGGGAAGATGCTCCTCAACATGGGGGCAGTTCATGGACACTTGAAGGGAAGATGCTCCTCAACATGGGGGCGGTTGGTGGACAATGAGGTCAAGATGTTCCTCAACATGGGGGTGGTTCATGGACACCTGAAGGGAAGATGCTCCCCAACATGGGCCCAATGTGTCTCACCTGCTGCTGGTGGGACGCTGGCTCCCACAGTCCCTGTGGCACTGGGGGGTGGTGGGGGTGGCACCAGGTGTCTGGAGAGGAGCAAGGACAAAGGGCTTGTCCCTGGTGTCCCAGCTGGAAGCCCCAGGGAGCCCAGGGAGCCCAGGGCCAGGTGACACTGAGCAGCAGCCTCAGGACTCACAGCTCCTCCTCCTCAGCTGCCGAGTTGGGCTCCAGGTACCTCAGGGCCACTGGTCCCTGATCCCCCAGTGGCCAGGCCAGGATGGGAGCAGGTCCAGGAGGGGGGATGTAGTGATGGTGGAAAACCACAGGCTCCTCTTCCTCTGCAGCCTCCTCAGGAACCCCCAGCACCTGTGGGGAGGAACAACAGGCTGTGCCAGGTCCTTTCCCACCACTCCCCAAGGCACCAGTGAGGGAATTCCCATGGGATGGCACCAGTTCTCCCAGGCTCCAGTCCCACCCAACGCCCCATGGTTGGCCAGTGTGGGGGGACCTGGATGCTGGGGCCATGGGGAGGTGGCAACTCCACAGGTGGGACTTCACAAGGCTGCTGGGAAGAGCAGTGGGATGTGACAGGCAGGCTGTGGTCTTGGCCAGTAGAGTGAACTGGTGGGCACTGGGAGGCTGTGGTGCTTCCAGCCCAGCTCCCAACCCTGCTGGGAAACTCAGGTTGGTTCCCCCCATGGAGATGGAACGTTGGGTGTGATGTGAGATGGACATTTGGATGGAAGCCCCTGCAGAGCTGTCCTGGTTGGGTGCTCAGCCCAGCACAGGGAGGGTCCTGCTGCTCCCCAGTCTGGCTCCACAGCCTCCCAGTAGCTCTGATGGGATCTGAGCTGGCAGAGCTGAGGGGTCAACCCGGCACTAAGAGCTCCAGAACAACAAGGAGCTGCAGAGCTGGGCTGAGACAGGTGAGACCACCCAGGTTCTGCACCCAGAAGGGGGGGATGTGGACACCCTGCTGCCTGGTCCTGAGAGGTCCCTTTGTCCACCTCTTTGCACACAGAGTCACAGGATCCCAGACTGGATTGGGTTGGAAGGGACCTCAAAGATCATCCAGTCCCACCCCTGCATGGGCAGGGACACCTCCCACCAGCCCAGGCTGCTCCAAGCCCCATCCAACCTGCCCTTCAACACTGCCAGGGATGGGGCAGCCACAGCTTCCCTGGGCAACCTGGGCCAGGCTCTCACCACCCTCACACCAAAGAAT